ATTAATTGACCGTATTGGACATTAATGGACCGTATTGGGCCATAATGGATCGTATTGCACATTAATGGACCGTATTTGCTTTAATGGATCGTACTGGACATTAGTGGACCGTATTTGCTTTAATAGATCGTATTGACCTTTAATGGATCGTATTGCGTTTTGACGGTCCATTAATAACAATAATATTAATAATTTTAAAAAAATATTTTCATTCATGAAATATATAATAATAATAATAATAATAATAATAATAATAATAATAATAATAATAATAATAATAATAATAATAATTTTAGTGGTAATAATAATATAATTTTAAATTTCATAATAATAATAATAATATTTAAATTTTAAAATTTTTGATTTAAAATACCGGCAGATTTTCCGCCCGAAAATGAAATTTTCAAAACAAAAAAAGCGCAACCGGTTGAATTTCAAAGTTTTTAAAAATTTTAAACAATTTCCGACGGAATTTTCAACCAGTAATTCAAAAATTTTTAATTTCTAGAAATAAATTTAAAAAAATTAATTAAATACTTTTTCCGGTGAAAAATGCTGCCGGTAATCCGCCGGTATATTCCTGGTATAAATACCCTACTTCCCTTTCCTCAGCCTCCACGCAAAACAAATCTCAAACCCTAAACCTGCTAGATTTCTCCCCAGCCACCGCTGCTTCCTTCCGGCCGCCGCTGCTTCCCGCCGCTGTTTACCTCCGATGCTTCCGGCTGTCGCTGCTTCCCGCCGCTGTTTACCTTTGATGCTTCTGGCTGTCGCTGCTTCCCGCCGACCACCTCCTTCCGGCAACGAATATATATATATATATATATATATATATATATATATATATAGAGGTTAGTTATTATACAACCCTTGATATTTGTACAACCAATACAACCCAATCTCAACCGTCCATTTCATTTGATGAATATATAATTTCATAGAAGTTTTGATTGTTTCCTAATATAAAGTATTAATCATAATTAATGAACTCTATTCATATTCCATAAATATTCAAATTATAATAAATGAACTCCAATCATTTCTATAAATATCTCAATTAATTGGGTTGCAAGGGTTGTACAAATACACAAGGTTGTAAAAGAAATATACCCTATATATATATATATATATATATATATATAACGAATTGCTACCTCTATATATATATTCTTGTAGACTTAGGATCATGTAAGACCAATAGTTTTTCGTGAGACCCGTAAGATCAATTCTCAACCCTTGGATTAGATTTACAATCGTCAGATCTGAACATTCATAAACGCCACGAGACTTGTCAATAATTACAAAATTGCCAACTTGCAACTTTAGACCATTAGATCATTAGCTTATAAAGTTGATCAATGAACATAAATTAGTCTTACGGGTCTCACGAAAAACTCTTGCTCTCACGTGAACCCAACCCTATTCTTGTATATCGATCTCATCAGATATATATTATATATGTATTCTAGAAACAAAATAATTATAGATACAAAATATACTTAAAATCTTACACTTTTCAGTATAATAAAATATGATGTGATTATGAAAATAATATAAACCAATCAAGTATGGATAATCGTTAATTAGAGTGCAGATTTATTTGTTATGGCGATTTTTATTTAAGTAAAAGGGTATTTTTATTATTTTTATTAAATTAAATCTGGTTTTTGGTAAAATTAAAACAAAACAAAAATCTTAAAATGATGAATAAAAAAGAATGGTTACACAATGATTATGCTTTATTCAAAATAACATAATTAATTATTAATTTTTTATTAATATATATAAATCCGAAAATCATGATGGTGGTTTTTTATTGTTTCCTTAATTTAATTATTAATTTTTGATTAACATATACAAATGGTAAAATCCGCCGCTTTTGTCGCCCGAAAATCAATCACCGGCGCCATTTTTTCCGGCGACTATATCCGCCGGAAATAGTGATTTCCGGCGGATTTCCTACGGATATAGCCGCCTGAAAAAGTGGTCTTTTTGGTAGTGTACGTTTATATATAGTTAGTTACACGAATTCAAGTTGTACTTGCGCACAATCTACTTGTAATTTTGAGTTTTAAGTAATATGCATCAATAAACAGTACTTTAAGCATAAAAAATGGTTTTTAAGAATTTTTGTCAAATGCTTTATACTATAGTATAGATAGATAAATACTTAAAAAAAACACAAATTTCATAACTTTTATGTACATATATGAATCAAATTAACAAATCAAAAAATATTGAACAAAAAGAATTTCCCACAAAAACAAAACCCTAATTACCATGCAATTGAAGAGGTTTAGGTTGAGACATGGTTCTTCTCTTCCATAAATTGATCTCTTTTTTTGGCTCCACATTTACTCTTCCAACCCTAATGAATTTATCATCAATCCCTAATTGATTCCTCATCACTACAGGTGCAGAAGAAGGGACGATAACCTCTTCATCATCACTTTCTTCATCGGAATAAAATCTCCGGTCACCGGAATCCATGGCTGCAGCCTCTTTTGTCCAATCGATATTCGAAAACTTACCCCTCCCACTCGAAAACCTCTTCATCGAGCTCAAACTTGGAGCTTTATCAAGATACAATGGAACCTTCGACGAGTTTTTATCTCCGCCGTCGTCGGATTTTCTTCCTCCGGCGCGGGCGCTGCCGGGAGTACCCCCACCAAAGATTTTCTTGAACCCTAATTTTTTCTTACTCTTACTCTCAGTTTTCGATCCTTCTTCGTGATCAAAATCCACGCTATGTGTTCTTGCCACCGTAAAAGATGTAATCCGTGAACCTTTATCCGACGGCTTTACGACGGTCGGTGGTTTGTTACCGGCGCCGCCATGGCCTTGACGGTGGAGTTTTTCCTTTTGGTACTTGCACTTGACTTGACCCATACACGAGACTCTTGGAGAAGTGGGTTCATAGACGATGGTGTAATCCGAGTCGTTCTTGATTTTCCGGCGAGTGTCAGCCGGAATCATGGAAACCATGGGGCCAGAGAAGCCAATTCCGAGATGGGATTTATGGGTTTTATCCGATGATCGTTTATCTTTGGACGCCGGACTGTAAATCGGAGGGTTTTGAAACGTAACCGACGATGTTGCTCTTGGTAGAAACTTCATGATCTTGTTCTTTGACTTTGTCGATGATGTCTTTTGCTGATCCATTTGCATATATAACACCAAATCTTATCTTCAAGAATGAATGTATAGATTCAGACACTTTTGTGCGTATATATATTGTGATCCAAGGAAAGAGAGAGGAGG